CCCCCCCCCCCCCCCAAAAAAAAAATGCTTATTTTTTCTGGTCTATTTGATAGGCTACTATCTATTACCAAAATTAACTAAAAAAAACTAAAACAAAACACAGTATCTTACCTGGAACTCCAGCGGGAGTTTTAATATATTTTCCATTGAAGTGTTGAATAATAGCCTCACATTTCTCTGTTGACTCCATCCTGTTGAAGAAAGTAAAATTAGTTATAAAAAACTGTTGAAGGTGACGTTCTATCTGTACCAGCCACCAGAGGGCGCAGTTGCCTACTAATGAAGTTTATCCACACTTGTTTGAACCAGCTGCTAAATCATGAGTGATATGGAGGAGCTTCCACCTGGCAAAGCCAACTCCTCGACTGGTCCCGTTGGCGTCACGGAGGATACGAGTGGAAATAGCCTGACTGAAGGGCTTCAGCATGTTCTCCAGCTCCTGTTCGTCCATGGACATAGGAAGGTTGGAGATGTACAAGTTGGTGGGGTCCTGCTCCTGTTGCTGCCAAACCRCAAAACCAAAAGAGAGAATTTAAAAAATCAATGTGCATATTTGGAGGAGACAATGTTTGAAGTTCCTATGAAAAATTGTGGCATACTTCTGAAAAAAAAGTCAGATTGAAGGATTTTTACGTGTGCAAGTCTCCATGTCTTTTTAGCAAAATATCTCAGAAACCACTGGATGGATTATAATGACACTTTCAAGAAATAAAGATTGGATGTTCAACTACAACTTGGTTACCTTTTGGGGCCAATCCAATTAAAGATGGCCACCACAGCTTATGATAATAAAAAATGCAAAATTTGATATAATTTGACGAAATTCTCAGGCATTTTGCTAAAAAACATTTTTTGCTTGTAGCTTTAAACTTATGTTTTAGCACCAATCCAATTTAAGATCTATAATTCAGTCATAATGAGGTCAAATTTGAGATGTTTTCACAACACTGAGCTTGACAGATAGTGTATGGTGCTATTTTCAAGGTTTGACCAAAATGGCTATAGAACCGTCCCTTTCTCAACATAAGATGATTTTAGTTTAAAAATCCTACATGAAAGGAAATGCATTCCTTTTTAGGAATGGGTTGTCTTTAAGATGACAACACTTTTGAAGATTATCAAGGCATGTGCTCTCATTACCCTGCAAAATAAACACCATCATTTGGTTTCCAAAAAGAAATGAAACAAAGAACAACACCATTTGCATTATAGTTTGTGTGAATATGCTAATCCTGACCTTGAACACAAGCTTCACAAATCAGAGAAAGGATGCAGTTTTTGCAGATCTACTTAAAAATCCAAAAACAAACTGAAAGTTACTCATAAAGGACGCAGTTTTGTTTTAGTTTTTTTTTTCCTCATGGACAAATCCCCTCCTCCCGTATTTTAACGCTCGAACACATTTAATTTGACCTGCAGCATCTCGTACGATAACCAATCTGCATCCCCTCGAGCCATGATGCATATTTCTCATTAGATGTGAACCTGTGAATGCAGTGCGAGTTCGTTCCCATGCCGTGAATAATGCACGAGTAATGGCTACGACCTCTGCGATGAAGGTGATTTCTCCTCCGCCTCCCTCCTCCTCTCTCACGGCCGAGCGCCGGAGAGCAGGCGGAGGGAAACCTGCTGCACATTTCGGCAGCGATGTGACTCAGATGTGAGTCAGGGAGAACGCTGACGCGGACGTTAAGTCGCCGAGTTAAAAAAAAAAAAAACTCCAGCAGGACGGCCGGGCGAAATTCAGCTATTTAGAGATAGAGAGGCAGTGTTGGCTGTCAGTGATCCGGCTTAACGTGAGATCAGGTTTCCCGAGGTGTTGGCGGTGTGAGAGCGACTGTGAGTGTTATAATCCAGCTGATGAAGTGCGTGTGAGGTTGTCAAGCGTTGTGTGTGTGTGTGTGTTGACAGGGCCGGTGACTGGGCACCGTGCCCTGCTGACTGGGGAGCTGCTCAGACACTGAGTCAGATGCCACCAGGGAGAACAGACAGCTTCTTTATACGTGAGCCCCTCCCCGGAGGACACGTTCCCCAAACGTCGTCACCACTCCGAGCACACATGTACCCGTGTGCATCCGCGAGCTCCTGTTTGTGCAAACATATATTCTTCAGTGTATTAATACACAGAAAGTCACTGATTTAGGGCCGCACCCGGGCATCGACTGCGCTAGTAAACACAAATCAATGGCTCGCACTGAAGTAAAACTCCCTTTTTTTTTTTTTTTCCCCCTTTGGTCAACATTTAGTATCACTTCTCTTGCAATGCTTGTTAATTATTAAGAGATTTAAAATTGAGAAAGGTTTGAATTTCACTCATTTTTCTGCCGGTTTACATGTGGAGGTGAGGTTCTTACCTTGGCCATCTGAGCCTGCACTCCACCAGCCTTCAGTGCTGTGACTGCTTTCTGAGCTGAGCCTGGACTGTCAAAGTCCACAAAGCCGTAGCCTGCAGGCACCAAAACATTCATGGGCAAACATTATGACGAAGTGATGTGACACATACACGAGGACAAGCATATACTGCATGGCTTCAGCTCATGTAACAGTGGGGTCTCCACAGACTTGTGTTTTCCCCGYGGAGTGAGAAGAAACACTGGTCACATAATGTATAATGATGTATTTAAAGCTCAATGCACACCTAACTGAGATCATTTTACAGGTTTGAACTACAGCAGGGATGAGGAAAACAAGTTAACACATCTAATATAAATGTTGGCAATTTTTTTTCCTTTCTACCAATTAAAATTTTGCTCATGAATGACAATCTCAATTACAAAACAGTTGAGAAGTGTAAATGTACATAAAAGGAGAATAAATTATTTGCAAATCTTATCAACTCCTATTTTATTCACAATGGTAAACATATTAAAGTATTTAAACTAAAGATCATTTGGCAGCAACATATGTCAGAAAAGTTGGGATGGAGCAACAGAGGCTGTAAAAGTAAGTGGAAAAAAAATTTGAAATTGTTTATGGAAGTCACAGACACCACATCATTTGCACTAAAAAGGGGAGGGACTATCTGGCCTTGTATCAGTTCAAAAATCTGCCTTGCTGATTGTATGGGGGTGCATTAGTGCCTATAGCATGGTCAGCTTACACATCTAGAAAGGCACCATAGATGCAGGGAAGTAAATACAGATTTTGATGCTCTCATCTAGATATCTTTTTTAAGGGAAGGCCTTGAATATTTCAGCAAGACAATGTTAAATCAAACACTGCATCCATCACAACAGCATGGTTTCACATGAGAAGAGTCTGGTGCTGAACTGGTCTGCCTACAGTCCAAACCTCTCAGCAACTGAAAACATTTGATGCGTGTTACATCAGACAAGAACAGGACAATGTTGCCTCCAAAGCTCCAGCAGCTAATGTTTACTATTGTAAATAAGATGTGGGTTTATGAGATTTGCAAATCATTGCATTCTGTTTTCTTTCCTTTTTTTTACACAAAATCCCAGCTTTTTCAGAATATGGGTTGTACTCTTGTGTTTTCACACTTCACCTTTGCATTTATTGGTTGTCTTGTCCAAGATGGCCTTGGTGGACACAATTTTCCCATACCTGCAAAACAGTGACATTTTTACTCTTTGTAGTGCGATATATTTTATCTTTATTCGTTTATATTTTTGCATCACAACCCTGCTGATGGAAGGCGGCTCCTTTCAAAGCCTAATACACATGTTGTTTATGATGGCTGAATTAAAATTCCCCTGTTGCGTTCTGCGCAGTGACACTGAATGCAATTATACAACCTGGTCATAAATTATACATGTAAGAAAATCTTTAATGGGCCAGGGTAAATTAAATGAAATGAGCATCACGTCCAGARGGTTTCTCTCCATCCTGGAAACATATATACCAATAAACTGCCCCATTCTTTTTATTCCTTCTCATGCACTGTATCAGTTGAGTTATACCTAGTGGGAGATCCAACCCAATGTGACATCTTGGTGAAAATAAAYGCCCCTGCTGCACCTCCTATATTATCTATACCCAGTGAGGCACATGAAGACAGTGCAGAAGCACAGGAAGGATAGTGCCTGTCTTTATTTTGCAAATGCTTTGTGTGCAGTGGTGTCTATCAGTTCCCATCTCTCCAGGCATGTGCATGCAGTGTAATCCGATACGCTTCTCCTTGGCCGTCCTGTCCGACGCTGGCTCCCAGCCACACTCTCCTTCAACTAACCAGCTTCTCTACATGCAGCCCCTTCTACCCTCCGCTGGGTCTTAGTGCCCCTTTAGTGGCTCACATCACCATCCAGCTTCCATCCAGTGATGATCCACCTCTGCCTTCATCCAGGCCATAGAAGCTGCTTTCAGTGTGTTTTGTTACATATGATTAAATAAATCTCTAGCATAAATCATTCTAAATTACAAATTAATTCAAATAGTTTTATTTTTCCCTTGAGCAAAACAGGTCTGTTCATCTTTCTCATCTCTAATAGTGTTGAACCAACCTAGTCA